CATAAGTGCATGCATCGTGAGCACTCTCCATTTACCGCGAAGGTTGACAGGCACTCTCGCCGTTGTTAAAGGATCCGAGAAGGGAGATAACTACGTTTCAATTGGGGAACAGAAATCTTCCATTATATTTTGTTCATCTTGCTTTACTTTTGGATCAAGATTCATTGTTTCGAATTTTATTTAGTGCCCTCAACTCTAATAAACTGTTGGCTATACCTATGTGGTCTTTCTCGACAAACTGGACTTATTCTCGATTCAATAATTTCTAATAATTTCTACACAAGTTGTGAAAAGTAAAATTTATTTAATTACAGAAGAATAGAATCTATTTTTCAGTTGAAAAAAATACATTACCCGATGTCTAATACTATTTACAGTAGTAAAAGAAATTTTAGTCATACTGACAGTTACATTTTATAACATGTTACAAAAATTCAAGTTTAAGTAGTAAATTGTATGAATAGTCAGACAGCAAGTTGGAAGTGATAATTATGTTTCATGTAGTAAAAATGTTGGTCAGACATTACTCATATTTTATAGTTTCAGTAGTAAAACACCATATATAGTCAGACAAACTGATCAACATTTTTTAATTATGCTTTCAGTAGTAAAAGTCAATTTTAATCAGACACATGTATATAATTTGTGTAGTGGCAACTCCAGTAGGTAAAAGTCAGTTTTCGTCAGATTATTGTGGTTAGTTTCAGTAGTAAAAATATTTTATTCAAAAAATACTATTTAGTAATTTAATTATATTGTATTTTCAGTAGAAAAAGAATTTTGGTCGAAAACTTTTCGAGTTATTTATTTATTTTCTTTACTTTTGTCATATTTTTGATTTTCAGATATTATTACTCCATTAGTGTGTTTAGTAGTAAATAACTGTTACAGTCAGACCAGACACAATTATACAATTTTTGTAGTTGTATTTTCAGTAGTAAAAGTGTTTTACTTTAACATTTGTAATTCAAATGGTTAAATTTCAGTAGTAAAAACTTTTTTAGTCAGGCTGAACGCTATAAATACCGTAATGTATCTCTTAGAATTTTAAGTTCCAGTAGAAAAATGGACGAATAGTCGGACAAAAAATGAAAAATGGTTATCAAAAATGTTATCAATTTCGTAATAAGAGTATCAGTAGTAAAATGTTCGTATAGTCAGACAGGAAGTTAAAACTGATAATTATGGTTTAAGTAGTAAAATAAATCATTAGACAATGAATAATTTTTTCTAGTTTAAGTAGAAAAAGACCCTTTGAGTCAGACAATATGATAAAAATATATTAGTTATAATTCCAGTAGTAAAAGTCAATTTCAATCTTACATTTAAAACTCTAGTAGTTTTAGTAGTTCATTATCGATCCGATTATTAGCATTAAATCGTTCTTAGATAATTTCAAAGCCGCATATTCTCAAAATTGAATGTTTGACATATTATATCAGGTGCTTTCGTCATAGAGAATTAATTCATCATCATCATTAGCAGCATCATCATTATCATTATCATATTTCAACTAATGACGATGATATATTCAAGTATCACGCGTAGTAGTCTCCACTTGTGCTCGCATTCAGCAAAGAGGGTGGAGATTTTGGATTCTCTGTAATCTCATGAACGAGATTACAATAAGTACAAGCTTAAATCTCCAAATGCACAGAAAAAAGAGGGAGTAAAAAGTTATAATGGTAATGGGTAAAACTCGTTGGGGTACAGGGTAGAGGGTAAAATTGTGAGGGTAAAATTGTTACCAGAATTTCCCTAGAAAAATGTCCGTGATTGTTGATATTATTTGATTAAAATGATGATAATTAAACACTGGTTGCATAAATTTAAATTTGAAATATGCACAATAAAAATAAGACACTACTGCACAGGTATAAATATTAACAATCTTGTCAATTTATATAATTTTAATCATTTTAACAATTCACATGACACTTGTAAAGAAACAGGCTTCGGAAAGCAAGATTTAATTCTCGAAATGAAACAGCAGAGTTGGGTAGGATAGCTATTGGACTAAAAAAATAATCACTCTGGAAATTTGAACTAGTTAAAAAGAATTAAATTAAGTATTAAAAAATTAGTTACTAATGATGAATTAATAATGTTTTTTTTACTAAAAATCTAGTGGAAAATAACTAATCATTAGTTAAATTTCATTTTCAGGTTATGTCGAATAACTATAATTTTTAGTATAAATATACTAATTTTTTATTTATTTTTGAAGTAATAATTATTTTTTTTACCCATTATTAGTTATTTTTTCACTAATTGCTAATATAAAATTGAGCAATGAATTGATTAATAATAATGAGTCTATTTTTATCTAACATTTTCTTTTTGTTTATTTTATAAAAATTACAAAATTAATTAATTTTTTAATTTGTAATTTTTGAGGTTATGGCTGTATTTTGCATTGTTTCGTTTAAATTGTATCTGTAGGTTATTATTTTATTTAAATGTAATTTATACATATGTGAAATACTTGAATTTTTTTTACGTATTCTGATTAAATAATTATATTAATATATTTTTTTAGTAATATTTATAGCTAATGCATTTTATATTGACTTATAAACATTTTTACAATAAAATATTAGTTTTTCAGTCCCAGATAGATTTGGTAAACAACAATATTGTGTAAGCACCTTCAGTTACCGATTGTCAATTTTAGTTCTTGATACGGATGTATGGCGGCGTTTTTAATTGCGTTTTAGTGTGATAGACACGTGTCTACAAAAACTTTTACGCTTATGTTTGCAATGTTTATTTTTACAAAAACAAAATGTCACATTTATTTCTGAGTTTGACACTGCAGACGTTTAAATTATTTAAGAATTAATATCGATAATTGCAGGTAACTTAAGAACCATTAGAACTGTTTTCATGTTTAAAAAGGTAAATGTTCAGGTCACTTGAGGTATGTATAAAAACATTACCAATTTTTTGTGTGTTTATGATTATAGGTTACAGTAGGTTAAAAAGTTTGATAATTTATTTACGAACTACTTCTCATACAAATTATTAAGAATGTTATTTTTTATTTCCGATATTTTTTATTCATTATTCATTTTTATTGCACTGTAAAATATACCTTCATATATTATTACAATTCGGATTTATATACTCTTGTATACTGTTGTAGGTAAATTATTCGACCGCATTCATGGATGGCGTCGTCCTTACTTGGAAAATAGAGCTGCTTCACGTACTTAAAATATTTTTGCAAGAGTTACTATATAGAATACCAAAAATCAAATACTAATTGGACACACCAAAAAATAAAAATGAAACAATTATCTCTATTTGTATTCTTTGTTCTTCCTAAAATCCTAAAGTAATAAAATACAGAGTTAAATTAGATAAAGTTTTCTAAAATTTTGTGGCATAGGGTAGATGCACAGGTATTGACCAAGGCACCGGTTTTGGCCAACCACACACTTTTATTAATTTTTCTAGTTTTCGGTTCTATTTACTATTTATTTTTTGATAAAAAGTCATTTTACAATTAATGTTCTTAAAAGATGTATTCAATGTTCATAATAATCATATTTATTATTCATGAAAATGGGGTGGCCAAAACTAACAAAATTGACATTTTTATATATTTATTAATTTATTATATTATTATTTTTTTAACCTTTAAAGACAAGAAATTCTGAAACTAAGAATTATAATTAATCTATTAACAACTGTCAGCCACTCATTTTTATAATTAACATAATAAAAGGTGTCTTGAAAATGAGGAATTCCTTAAAGTGGCCAAAACTGGTGCATCTACTCTAATCGATTTTGAAAACTTATTTCAAATTTTAATTCAGTAACCTTAAAGACATCCGGGAAACGTAAAATTAGCATACACAATTCGCGACTTTGAATTTTGGAAAATTTTTTTTCGGTTGTTTGAGACAGGCAAGTCATTTTCCTGAATTTTTGCTGCGATAAATCTGAATCTGATAACAAAAATCTCCCATCACGTCAGGATTTTGAGAAATATGTGGATGTAAAACTCCTAAAAAATACGCTTCTGTCAATTGTTGAAATTTTCTACCGGGTAAATCTGACGTGATAATGACAAATAAAACCTTGAACTCTGTACTTTACAAAGATTTGGCGATATCGAAAAAACATACTAAATTAATGCTTGTTTCATTTCCAATATGTCAAACTAAAGTAACTGTTACTTTAGTTTCGGGGTTGCTGAATACGAATATAAAATCAGATTTTAAAAATTAAAAATGACGGATCCAATATGGTGGATTGAAACTTTAAAAATGAATTTTTTATATAAAATAGGAACTGTAAATTTCTTCGTTCTGGTGGTCGTTAATAGATTAAATGCAATTATTCGTTTGAATTTAAAAAAAATGTATTCGACTTGTTTTCTCTGATTACCTTTCGATTCATTTCGTAATATCTTTTATTGGAGGAAAGGAAAGTAAATATGTTTTTGGATGAAATTTTTAGAACTTATATTTTCTTTTTGAAATATTTATTTTACACAATTATTAATATTCGTCGCACATTAGATATAAAAAATATTTTAAGAAGTGCAAACGTATATGCATTGAAAACAAGTATTAAGGAAATAAATTTATAGAGACCTGAACTGTATTATGCTTTTTATCACGATTTATGTTATCGAAGATTTCGCCCGTTTATTATGCAATTATGTTCATAAAAATATTCACTTATGCTTAGTATTAGAGTTTTTACTTACATTAAATATTGTTTAATGTAGTTACCTAATTTAAAATTTTTAATTTATTTTTAGAAAATATTAAAATATTTAAATTTTTTAGATAACACTGAATATATTACAAAATTAAATAAATAACACTTAAAGTATTTAAAATATCACTTCACAATATTCAAATTCAAACATTGTAATTAAGAAAAAATGTTCTCTTTCTTATTACATATATTAAAGCTATTTTAATACTGTAAGAAGTTTTTAATATTTTGTAAATAGCTATGTAGCATTAACTACTTGTCTCTATATATTTATTGTTCAGATGATGCAGATGGCAGTAAATTACATTGTTTTAAAGCATTTGTCAATGTTATTTTCGTTAAAATGCTTTTATCAATTTCTTTTGTTGCCACGTCTCTCAAGACAGCAATTGCAATGAAAGAAAATTGCTGCTTAGCATCTGGTGGAAAATTGATTTGGAAAACCCAATATACAGCGAGCAATAACAGCAAGGCTCTGAGGCCTTTCGCTTCAAAAATTGGCTGTCCGTCACTGTAGCATATTGTATGTAGATCGTCTAATGGCCTATCGGAAACCGCAAGAAGTTTTGGGGCCTCTGTCACACCAGGAACAATCTTTTCCATTGACGTTCCAGTCTAAATAAAAAAATATGTTTTGTTATATTGTATGAATAATTTCTGAAAGAATTATTTTTAAATAAAATCACTTTTCTTAAAAAAAACTGTTAACATTTCCCAAATTATTTAGATTTTTAGGATTATAAAAAATTATTATGCATAATTTGTAATCGTTATTTATCTTTTTGTTTCTTTGAAAAATCAATATTTAGATTTAAAATAACTTTAAACACTGGTCAACTCTCTCGATTTTTATAGTAAAATATTATTCATCTGCTTATTTTCTATCGCGATATGAGGTATGTGTCGCACTTACATTTGTAATGCTAATTTGATCGTAACATTTTTAACAAAGTAGTAACTTCATTTTGCTAAAATTTTGTAAAGAAGTCTAAAATATGATGAAGATTGACATTAAAGTGCAGAAAAGTTGATACATTGTTGAATAATTATTATATACTATTTATAAATTATTAGAAAATAATATGCTTATAACCTCAAATTTTCTAACAATTTTTAAGTGTTTTAACATAATTGTTTAACAATATCTCAACAATTTCTCACTCCACTTCCTTTCTTACAATATTTTAGACATTTCCATAAAATTCAAGCTCAATTCATTTAATATTTTATGAGAAAAGTTATGGACAAAATTAACGTTTTAGTGACAGCATGAATTAGAGGTCACATTATGTTCTTAAAAAGATAACAAGAACTTATTTAGATACTAATTAATGTAATTTATGAGTACTCACAGGAAACAATTGTAGAATTTTGCCTTTCTCTTTTGCCTTTGTAAATAATTTGGGCAAATAATACAAGACATACATTGTTTGCCCGTCCACCGAAAGATTTTTGGCAGGAACTTTCAATATTTTTAACAGATTTGGTAGTAGCTCCACCCAATTGGACTGCATTTTCGGGACATCTAAATTTACTATTTCGCTGAATTCCAAAAGTAGCTGTTATTTTTAAAAATTAAAAATAGAATATTAGTTTGTTATATTTTTATTATTAATTGTATACGACATAAGTCGTCATAATTAAAATTAAATACACAAAGTGATGAAAATTATTTAAGTTTTACATTGTTTTGAAGGAAAAACAAAATAATAAGTAAATGATTTTGCTTTTACCACATTCTTATCCCGCAGTTCAGGGCACTTCAGTAATACTTCCTTCGTATCCACTTTTCTCGCTGCTGACAGCCTTGATCTTCGTGTCGCACGTAATTCGTCTGCTGTCATTCTCGATTTCGGTAATGCATTTGATGCATTTTTTTTTTCCTTTTTTCGAGTAGCATTTAGCGTCCTTTTTTCTTGAACGATAGTATTTGCAGCAGAATTTCAAACGGTTGTGCGTCTGACTCTATATAATGCATGTAAATTATTGTTTAGATAAAAAGGTGAAAATATATCAAATTAGTATCTGCCCTGAGAGAAGGCATATCTTAACAATCAAGTATCAGTATTTTAAATAAACTGTGCAGTACTACAGTTTATTTAAAATACTGATACTGATACGCTTACAAATTTCTTTTGAAAATATATTAATCAAATAAAATTATTTTCAAATAAAAAATTGGACTTACGTTTTTCTCGCCATACTCGCTCGCAAGTTGCAAGGGATATTTATCAGTCAGCAAAATTGACATTTCTAAAATTATTCCTGGTATATCCAAATTTTTTTCCATCAATTTTTCAGTAACTAATCTAATTATTACTGATATTTGAGAAGCTAACAGTTTCTTGTCTTCATCGATCAGTTCCTGTATTTCTGTGGGAAATTCCGGTATTAACGTGCTTAGATCAGTCTAAAATAATAAAATCAAAATTACCAAATAATTCAATTTAAATAAATATTATTACAATAAACAAAATTGCTTCTATATGAAGGTGCATTTCTATACGTTAACAAGTTTCTATTCTGCTTAGGCCTTAAAAGTGATAAAAAAATAATAAATAATTTCGAATTGACAAATAGTTGAATATGGCAACAAACGTCGAATGGTCAAAAAATTCAAAAAATAAAAAAATTGTATTGTCAAAGGTTAAATTGGAAGAAAAATTGAAAGGCAAAAACGTTGAAAAGTTAAAAAGTAGAATTTATTTTCAATTTATTTTCATTGTCAAATACACACGTTACAATGAAAATATGTGAAGAAACCAAAGAGAGAACATTGTAGAATTTCGATTTTTTTACCATTCGATACATTGTCAATTTGACTTTTTAACAATTCGACATTCTACCTTTCATTTCAACTTTTTTTCAGTTAATGTTATTTTAAATCAATTTTTTAACAATTCAACTTTGTTCAATTCGCCTTCTTGAAGATTTTTATTCATTTTAACCTTTATATAATTTTTATGAAGATTTGTGTCACAAATTCCTCCACATTCAAGTTTGACGTAATATGTAGATGAGCCATAAAAAAATATAGTTAATATTTTTTATTAAAACACGTTTTAAAAATTATAATTTTTATATATTAGTTTTGGAACATGAAATAAAATAAAATAATTTCTGTCAAAGCTAAAATTTTTCCATTTTTAATTTCCTATGTCTACAAAATTTTCAATGAAATACTTGAAAAAATTTCTGTTGATTATTCTTATGAAATTAAATTACTTTGTATTTACCGTTTCGTTTATTTCTATTTCTTCGCTTCCAGATTCTTGCAACACACTTCTATCGACCACATCCGATGAATCCTCGGATAATTGCAATGAATTTTCATTTTCACCAGAAGTATTTTGTGAAACATCTGAATTAGAATCATCATGAATTGAATCTACTGACAATTTTCGGTGTTTTGTAGGATAGCACCCACAATATCCACAAACGTTTTTAGTTGAATCCTGATTCCTCTCGAACTCTGGACACTCATTACACTCCGTACAAAAACCTCTTTTCACATTATATTTATCAATATTGTTCATTTTATTCTCGAAATACTTGCTGAATATGTAAACGCGTGGAAAAATGTCGTACTTTCAACTAGACCATCTGTGTAATTTAACAAAAATTAACAATAATATGCAGGGTTGGGCATGGGCGTTAAATAAAAACACTTTACATTTATTTGAATGGCCATGCCTTGCTGTGTCGTTTACCGACTTTATGCCCCATGTGAGTGCACCCTTAAGGCGCACTCACAACAGCTAGTAGGCAGCATACAAATTTGAATTTACTGTCTCTTTCACTCTAATTGACTTTCTCTCTTACTCCAATTACTGCCTGCGCAGGCAGGCAGAGCTGTGAGTGCTCCATTAAGGCGCCTGGAAAGGTGTAACCGTTTAATTTTTTGAATAACACTAGGTGACTCTGCAAATTACAATAAAATATTTTGGAGTCGGATAGCTAAGTTTGTCACTTTGTTTACATGTCATGTTCGAAATCCTTTTAAAGACTTTCTACTGTTGATATTTAATCATCATCGATTATTTAACGATAATAACGGATAACGGATTACAGGTAAATAAATTTATTTAAACTAATTTAAATACGTTTTTATTTATGTATAAAAATATAAACGTATTTCTAGCATATAAGTAATTGATTTGAAATATTTTTACAAAAAATAATAATTTGAAAAAATTTCGTTTACATTCATCATATTTGTATATATATGCATAGTTAAAAATTTGTATGAGTGATACAAACAAAATTTTTAGTTTAATCAAACATTTTAATGTTTTTTTAAATTTTTAAATGGGCAGTTATTTAAATTCTGGATCTTTTTTATTGCCTAAATTCATTAATTTTTTTTTATAAAAGTATTTATCTAATTTCATAAGTTTTGAACTTTTAAATGAACAAAAATTATATGTTGTGCTATTTCAAGCGAGATTTCAGTTTTTTCGGAGTAAGTAAACCAATTGAAATGAAATTAAGAACTTTTAATCTAAACACAAAAAGAAATATTTTCAACAAATATGACGTCAAAATATTCAGTAGTTTTTTAGATGTCAAAATTTTGGAAAAATTTTGAAATCGTTATATCTCCTTTCCATCTTAAGAGCGTTCGATGTTCTCTAAAATTTGTAGGTTATGTTCGACTTACTGCAGGGTGGCCACATGTCAGTAAAGTCAGGGAAATGTCAGTGAAACAAAATTTTTGTCAGTAAAGTCAGGTAAATGTCAGGGAAAAAATTTTTTGTCAGTAAAGTCAGGGAAATGTCAGGAAAAAAATTTTTGTCAGGGAAATTAAGAAAATTGAGAATTTTTTCGACTTATTTTCAAAAATTGCGACTTTTTCGACTTTTTTTCCAAACATTTCAAGTATTTATTTACAATTTTTAAAAATCAATTTTTGAAGAATTTTAATTGCAAATTTTGAAAATAATTGAAATATTAGCTTCTAATTTGTAAAAATTCAATGTTTTCAGTATTTTTAATTACATATTTCCAAAAATTCAAATACGTATAAAAATAATAACATTTTAGAATTATTTTTAACATTTTGGAGAATACAATCAAGCTCAAAATTTTTAATTAAAATTTAAAGAAAAATTAATTAGTTTTTTAAATTATACAAAATTTTTTTTAAGAAATTCAATTATTTTCGAAAAATTACATTAAAATATTTTTAAGAACTAATTATTAGAATTGTTTTATAATAATTTTTTAAGATTCAACTATCTTCGAACAATGTGAATAAAAATTTATGAAAATTTACTTTTTAGAGTTATTAAAATTTTTGAGAAATCATGGTCTTGTTTAAAATTAAAATTCTTCAAAAATTTGATCATTTTTATTTATATTTTTCAAAAATTCAATTATTTTAAAAAGATTTTACCCAATTTTAATTGTTTGTAAATTATTAAAAATTGGAAAACTATTATATTTATATAATTACAATTATTATAAAAAATTAAATTTTTGTATTTAAATAATTGAATTCTAGAAGAACTTTTGGGAAATTATTTAAATTAATTGATTCAGAGATGAAGTTTAGTTAAAAATTGTAAAAAATAATTGAATTCAGGAAGGGTTATAATTGTAATTTTTAGAAATTATTCAAATTCATAAATTTTACCCATTTTCCGTAAACATTCATATTTTCCTGTAAAAAGAATTTTGTCAGGGAAAGTAATTTTAATGTCAGTAAATTGTCAGGGAAATTGATAAACTGAAACTTGTGGCCACCCTGTACTGTTATCGCCCAAGAAAAACGGTACTGTCTGTTTGAAATGACGTGGGATTAGTAAACAACCGTTTTCGAACGAGTTTTTCTCTGCACACGTGCACTTTTTACAAAATATGACAACGTACATTTGTCACAAATGTTTTTAATTGTCTGAATTCAAAAGATTTTGTTAATCCATGCAGAAACGCGGTTGCAGGATTGGAAATACAAAAGTAATGTAATGGCAGGCCACAAGACGTATGTTACAGCCATTTTGTCAGTAGAGGGCAGAAGCATGCAGGGAGCGTAAAGGCTCAGCTGTCAAAATGATTCGCATTACATTGCCATGGTAATTCCAATGCTGCAACCGCGTTTCTGCATGGATTAACAAAATCTTTTGAATTCAGACAATTAAAAACATTTTTGACAAATGTACGTTGTCATATTTTGTAAAAAGTGCCGGTGAACAGAAAAAAATTTGTTACAAAATCAATGTTTACCAATTTCACGTCATTTAAATCGTTCAGTGCCGTATTTGTTGGGTGATAACTGTTTGTCGCACATTATCGAGAAATTTAATAGACCATCGAACACCGTTAACCAAAACACTTTACTCTTTTTTCTAAAAATTTAGCATAAAAAACGAAAATTTTTTTTTATATTATGTTTATAAAAAATTTTTATAAACAAAAAAGTTATAAAATAATAATTGAATAACTTTTGAGAACAAGCACGAATTACAAAAATATAAAAAATAAAATATAAAGATATTCTCATTACAAGAGGTTTCTTTTCGAAATATTATAGAATTTGTAGCGAAGATTTTTTTAGTGTTTGCCTCATTCAATTTCGTGTTTGTGCTCAAAAGTTATTCAATTATTATTTAATAAAATTTTTCTTCATGAAATTTTTTTTCGTTTTTATATGCTGAATTTTTAGAAAAAAAGTGAAGTTTTTATATTAAAGCAAAATTATTTGAATAAAAATGTAATAAGAAATAAATCAATTTCATTTATTTGAACGTTCGAAACTTAGGGTCGTAATTCCACATTCCATACAATGTTTTTTTCTGTAAAGAAATTCATTCTGAATGTATTGCAAAGTACATTTATTCACTTTACCTAAAATTAAACAATGAATAAATTAATATAAATGTCATTTTAAGAATTTCAAATTGAATAGCCTTTCTACTTAATTATTTTTGTTGACTATTATTAGCTTGTATTCTAATTATTTACATTATCATTTCCAGCTATGGACGAGGACTTTATTATTGAAGATCCTATTGATGATACTTCGGACGATGATGTGGAAGAAGATTCTGATTTTGAGGATGATTATGATGAAGATGATAATGTTCCTGATAACCCCGAGAAAGAAATTATAGGCGAATATCTTCTGTATTTGAGAAGTAGTACAAGAGCAACTAATGAAGACGTGACTAATATATTAAGGAAAATGGAAGTAGTTGTAAAGTGGTATCTTTCTCGTCATCTAAATAATATTAGAAATATTCTAGGAGAGACACACAATATAAATTTGAACGAGTACATAGACATAGACGAAATTATTAATAACATTGACTGCAGTCAAGGACTGAATAGCATTCATAACCAAAATAAATATTTTGAGGAAAAATTTAAAGTTGTATTGCCTGATAGAATTAGGCTGGGTGAGAAATTTGTCCCGTATGGTTCATCTTCAATATATGGGAATCAGCCATTAAAAATAAAGAAAGACGAATTTATTCACGTCCCTATTTCGAAGGTGCTGACTGCGTGGTTAGGAAACGGCTCATTTGGGAATATTTTATTTAATCCAAGAAGGAATGAGAATCAAGCCATTGAAACTTATATGGATGGAAGCTATTTCCAAAATCATTCCTATAAATTGCAAAAACCAAACTGTAAGTTTATAAAACTTTATTTTGACGAAGTAGATATGTGCGATGCCGTGGGGTCTAAATCATCTTCTACTAACAAATTAGGCATGTTCTATTGGATGGACGATGATATATCTTCTGAAAATAAGTCACAGTTAAAATTTATTAATTTAGCTGGAGTTGTATCCAACCCTCATATAAATGTGTATGGAATGAACGCCATTCTTCAGCATATTATCAATGACCTAAAGCAAATTCAAAATGGTATTCGATTGTCAAACGGTGACGTCATTTACGGAACATTATCAGTCTTAATTGGAGATAATCTTGGTGTTCATCAGTGTTGCGGTTTTCGAGAATCGTTCAGTGCACTTCATCCTTGTAGAATATGCAAGGCAAATATGACTCAAATAAAAACTATGTGCAGTGAAGATGCTACGATTCTACGAACAGCAGAAGAGCATGAACGTCGAGTTCAGGAAATTGAAGCTGCCGTTGGAGAGCAACAAAAAGCTGCTCTTCGAACACTATATGGCATTAACAGAAGAAGCGTGCTTAATGAAATTGAAAATTTTGATGTTACGCAATCCACCCCACCGGATTTAACTCACGACGATTTATTAGGAATTTGCATCATTACAACAAGATTGTTTCTGAAGGAAGTTTGCTGTACGTTAGAATTGATCACGCTTCATGACTTGAACCAAAGAATAGCAAATTATGACTATGGATATACCGAGAAATCTGCTAAACCTTCACCAATTACTGAGACACAATTGTTAGATGCTTCTAAAGGATTTAAGCAGACGGCTTCACAAATGTTACAGTTGGTGACAATGCTACCGTTAATTGTTTCTGATAGAGTTGTTCAAGGGTGGTCACCGTTGGAAAATTATTTAAAAATGTTGGAAATTATATTAATATCGCATGCTGACAAAATACCAATCTCTATTTTAGGTTACTTGGAATCTTGTATATCTGA